TCACACATGACGCCTTGAGGATCCACATCACAGTTGATGAAAGCCGATTGGTAATCAGCTTCACCTTCTCCTAGGGTGAACCTTGCGATCATCTCCGCCCTTACATCGTCGGTGGGGTTACAGAAGTCACTGCCCTTGACAATATATGGGATGTTTCCCTCTACTTCTAACATGATTTTCTTGTAGTTCGGGGAAACCATGTACGGGTTGCCGCAGGCTGGCCATATGAATGTGTAACCTTCCTCCATGCATTTCTTTCCAACAGACAGTACTGAAGGAGACTCATCTAAGACGAATGGGGAGTAGGTAGAGTCAAATTCGTCGAAATGAATATCGGCGACTCCCTTTGTGGATGTCACTCCATTTGCGGTATAGAATGACATTGATTGGTCGCTTTCTCTCACTTCCAGACCTAATTTCTTGGCTCTGCCTTTCGATATCAAATCATACCCACATCCTGTGTCCATGATGAACTTTGTTCTTGACCCTTTGGCTGGAATAGACAATGTCTTTGTGTCTGCATGATCTTTCTTTCCCTCGCATACATGAGGAATGACTTTATGATGGAAAACTAGGCCGTCATCTTCGTCAAAAGACATAGTGACCGCTAGGTCACCCTTTGGTCCAACTGGTATTCGGACCCTCTTGATCTCAGTGTAGGGGACCATCAATATGCCTCTTGCCTCTGCGACCTTTTCTTCAAATCTGATTTGTTCTTTCCTCGTGTAGCAGGTGAGCTCTTTCTCATCGTATCGTTTGATGTCTGGACGTAGAGGTTTCCTTTCTACTACCTTCCATTTGTTCCTGACTGAGTAGATCGCTTCGTTCAACATGATCTCACAAGTCTCTTCATCAAAGGATACTTTTGCACCTCCTTCTCTTGCCTTGGCGGATGCAGCAATCCCTTCATCTTCGGATTCGTCCATGAAGAGTTCACCGTCAATGGCTGGGGCTCCAGGCTTCGCCTTAGGCTTCGGTTTGGGTTTTGCCTTGGGCTTTGGCCTATCGTCTCCTGAGTCAGCTGGTGCAGATATCCCTTTCTTAGGAGAGGCTTTCGGGTCATGGTAGAACTTGCAATCCTTCCCTTTGTCACAAGTTCCTCGAATCCACATCCAACATACTGGCTTGTCATTCTTTCCGACAGAAGATCCTCTGGATGGTGATCTGGGTTTCTTGTGACTGAATGGGCAATCTTTCCCCATAGTGCAGTTACCTTTCACGAAGTATTTGCATGGTATCTTCTTCTTGTCTGTACTCGGACTTCGGCTGCGATCCTTTCCATCACCTTTACCTTTCCCCTTTCCCTTTTTGTTCTTGTCTTCAGGATGCTTCTTGGGATTGGGTTTCGGCTTCACTGCAGCAGCGTCTTCTGAGACAACCTGTTCTTGTTGCCCTTTTGGTTTCTTCTTCGGATCAGCTGGTGCAGCTTTCAGTTTTGGAGCAGGTCCGCCTGGTTTGAGATTCTGAAAGATATTGGCCACATTCTTCACTGCCTTCTCCTTTTCCAGGATCATCCTGTCTTCAGTTTGCCGTTCGATGTGCCTTCTGATCATATCACGTAGATGTTTGTATGTCTTCTTGGCATCATCGTCGTTCATGCTGTTGTAGGCGCTGATGTCGTATGCCATGAGGTTTGAGTTCCTGATCTTTCTCCATAGGAGATCCCGAAGAGTTTCGTCGCTCGGGACGTCAACGGGCTTCATTCCTGCCAGAATCTCATCCCAAGTGTGGAAGAACAACGATAAGTTCTTGTCTCCTTGATATTCTAGTTGGTAGAGGTGCATTGAAGTATATAAGACTTCCACATTTGATGTTGTCTTGAAATTCATAAGGATCAGGGCTAGGACCTCTCTTCCCTTTATGAGGCTTGATGTTCTCCCTTTTGCATTGATCCTCGTCCTCAACTTCATAGCTACACCTGAACCATCATCTTTCGCATCCATGACGACCTTGGTAAGAGCTAGGCCGAGTTTGGCATCGATTGAATGGAATCTTTGGTCTCCTGAGTCGACAAACTTGTCCGGATCAGGATCGTCCATGGCTTCTTTGATCCAGTCGATCCAGGGCTCTTGATCTGAATCATTGGCCGCAATGATGATCGATTGAATGAGATTTGCCTTCCATAGTCCAAGATCATTGATCCTGGGCCATGACGGAACGTTTATCTTTGATTCTTCCTTCCTCGATACTTTCATGATTGTAGAGGTTGCCGGTGCAAGATGAGATGAAGAGGATGCTTCTGCTTCTGAAATCTTGTCCCTCAATGATTTGTTCGCCTCGGATAGCTCAATTGATTTCTCCCTTTCCTCGGCGTACTCATTGTGGGTTTCGGCATACCATTCATACATCTCATCTCGGCTCTCTGTCATTTCATTGTACCCGTCCTTGTAGTGCTTCGCCTCCTCTTTTGCGTTCCGAATCTCATCTTCCTCGGACGCGTGGGTTGGTAACCCGCGGTCTCTGGAACTAGGACGCTTGCTGTACCGAGAGATTATGGGTGCCATTCGTGCTTCTGCTTTTAATTTCGCATTTTCCATAATGACATTCTTTGTCTCCTTCTGGCTTTCCAATAGTGCATTCTCCAGTTCTCTGATCTTCTGTTGAATTTCAGCACCATCATCGCCGAACATAGGAGCTCTCATCATATTCTCTCTTTTCAGCTGTGCGTTGGCTTCGGATAGAGCGAGGTTGGCGTCTTTCAACTGTTGTCGTTCACGGATGGAACCTTCTAGGACTTCGTTGTTGAATATTTCTCCTTTTGCGATAACCTCCTTTGCGACGTTTGCTTCGTATTCATGGTGGCTCGCCTTCATTTCTGCCATTTCTTTAGCAGAGACTTCAGTCTGGCATACAAATATCTCCATCCTCATGCCCACTTCCATCTCTTCTATCTCCGCTCTCGCGTTGAGTTCAGCTCCACGTGCCATAGCTAGTTGACCTCGTAGATGATCAATAACCATAGCTTCCTGATTGCTCTGATCTTGAGATGAGTGAACACAGTGTTGAAGACGTCTTTCCCTGACCTCACTGTTCCATTGTTCTTCTCTCTGGTGTTGGATCACCTCGTGCATGTTGACATTCTCATTCTGTAGCGCAATCATTCTAGCTTGTATCTGGTCAGCTATTCCGACGAAGGCTGTGTTCTCATCCTGAATGGCTTTTGATCTTCTATTGATCGCCAATGAAGATTCATTCTGTTCTTGGATGTGTCCAATTGCTGCTTGAAGCTCTTGGGACATTCTGTCCTTCGTTGCTTTCACAGATTCAAGCTCTGAATGTTCTTGATGAGTTTCTTGTGCAAGCTCTTGATATCTCATGTAGATATGTTCAGCTGTCGATTCCGCCAAGCGTAGCTTGTGTTCGAGCTCTTCAATTCTTATTGTCGCTCCTTCATCTTCCTGTGTCATCTCTTGTAGATGTTCCTGCATCTTCCTGTTGTAGTCAGACATTTGCCTGAACTCCACTTCAGCCTCGTGGTGTAGTCGTGAGTATCCGGCTTGGATGCATTCATATTCTTCATGAAGAAAATTGTATGCGTTTCTCGCCGATCTCAATTCTTCACCCAGCTGAATCTCTCTTCTTTGCTCTTTTGTTCCTCTATCATCGTCACGTCTCTTCTCTATACTCCTTCTTGGGGATCTCGCGGTAGACGTTATAGGCGATGTAGATCTTGTTGTAGCTCTCATCGATCTTCTTGGTCCTACGGGTGCAAGATCGGTCAGATTCCGAGCCGGTGGCACGGATCTTTCCGAGATTTGTGATCCAGTAGGCATAGTGATAACGTCAGCATTTGCTGATGAATCAGTACCCATTGTAGAGTCTGGTGACGAAATGGTGTTGGGACCACCAGGAGCAGCGAATGAATAGGGTTCGCTTCCATTTCCTCCTGAGCTTGACATTGCAGGTTTCTGTAATGACTAGTCTTGTTCTTGGTCTCGTGTAGCTCGTACGGCTATAAAGAGCGCGTACGGCTGATAACCTGCGAGTGGATCTTAATCAGCGAAGTTTGAAGCTATCACTGACGATCCATAAGCGGCGTAGCGTCGGAACGGAAACCGCACCTTTTCTAGTCGCTTGATCCTTGAGCCAAAGTACATATGGTACATATATATGTACAAGTTGCACTGTACGTGTCGCTGCACTTCCATTCGCATATATATATATATGTGTGTGTGTGTATTATATGTGTGTATGTACAGATAGTCAAACAAAAAAGGGAGAGTACAAGTCGTCTGAGAAAGGGTTATCCAAAAGAGGGCTGCCATTAGTACAGACTTTGCACTTCTAGACCGCTGCTCCCGATTTAGCATTGCAGTTGCTGCTGTAGGTGTGCAAGCGCCGCGTGTCGAGTGCTCAAACGTGAGGTGAGGTGTTAATTTGGTTTGGTGCCGGTGAACCCTTTGCGAAGATCGTGCACGCTTGGTGCTGCCTGTGGCACGAAATTATATGTCGCTACGCCATGCGGTTTTGCGCGGCCTCGGTGGAAAGTGTGTTTGCATGGCTCCGTGCCATTGGGAAACAAAAAGCACGCGTGCGTAAACGCGGCGTCGCTGGTGAGCGGTACAAGTGGCTGTTGCCCAAAAGAGCAACAAGGAAAAAGATGTGTGATCCACATGCGTTGATACAATATAGAGTACATACTGAACAACAACAGACCTTATGCATGATGGTTAACAACAGGCAGCGACCATCTTCGGGTCCAGGTCACCATAGCTCAAGCGACGCCCCCCCACAACCAGCACCGAACGAACAGGTTCTTTTGGTGGGGAAGTGCCCTCCACTGAGCCGAAACTCCGTGTGGGTTAAAAAGCAATAATATACAGTATGTATATAGCATATATCCCAAAAAGCGGCTTTGCCGTTTGCCCGATTCGACTCAAACAACTTTGGACATTCATCGCCTCGGAACGGCTGGGGGACCACGTTTTGCTCCAAAGCTCTTGAGGGCATTTAACTATCAAAAAAACACGGTCCGCGCTGGTGGTGTCCAATCGAGTGTCCACTCCCGGTCGGCGCCACCGCAATCAAGTCCATGCCAGAGAGGGCGCAGGGCCAGGCTTGCGCTTGCACCGCGAAAGGCAAAGCTCCTCGTCATCAGGTGGCGACCAAGCCCTGAAGCTTGCTGTGGGTGTGCCACGTACTTGCAAAGGCACCCCCCAAAAAAAGGGGTGTATTCCACTCAACCCGTCAAATGACTGAATTCTGTGTCGCACCAAGCACCCAGTCTGTGTCGATTCGGGCAGTGTTTCGTTTCGGCCCAATGCGGGAGGAGGTGATCGATCAGCACCCAGCTCAGTGTGAAACCCCTATAAGCAGGACGTCAATCCTCGAGCGCATCGTCTAGTCGCAAGTGCGAATCAAGTCAACTTCGGCTCAACGTCCTCAAGTGGACGAAGCATTGGGCTCGTGCTAGTTGCGCCGTTGTCCCAATATCGAAAGAGCATCTTCACTGGTCCCCTTGACCCCCCCCCCACAGCGCCCCACCCCACACTGCCTCCACCCCCTCTCCTTGCGATTCGGTGCTGAAGAGTTCCATCGCCAACTCCTCCACGAAACTGGGGAAGGCGGTCTCTTGGAAGGTCTGGAAAGGCTTCGGCGCAGGTCTCCCTGGCGCAGGGTCTCGCAGCTCGGCATTCCCCCGATTCCCCCGATTCGACCTGCGAGAGGTGCGACATGACCGGTGCGGCAAGCGACGGCAGCACCCACCATGATCAACCTGCCGGGAAACCAACCAAATCCTCGACTTCCGAGAGATTTGGACCTGACGCACTCGCAGGAAAACCCAGGTGGTGGCGAATCCAACGAATCCAACGAACCAGCCAAACGCCCCAACGCGGAATCGACCTGCCTCGCACCACTTGCACCACGATGCCATTCGCCTTCCGATATTCCTCCGCCTCCTCCTGAGACCTCTGTCCCAGGACCGGATGGGCCGCTTCCAAGTTCCCCCAGCAAAAGCGCTCGCACTGCAGGGACAAATCCGGATGGTTCAGGTAGAAGTCCTTGTGAATCTTCGCCAGATCACCCTGAGGCACGCGAACAGTGGCTCCCGTGCCTACTCCGGATGAACTCCGGTCGCTCTTGTCTGGGTCGTCTCGGGTCGTCCGACAGAAACGGCCAAATCCAAGGCGCCCCAAAAAAGCGCACGGTTTTTTCCATGTTCACCAGCAGCCAGTGGCCCTCCTCGATTCTGTCCCCCACCCAGGCCTTGAGCCAGTCGCCATCCTTCACAGGTTTTGGGATGATCCTTTCTCCTTCGAAGGGTTGCGGTGTCTGCTCGACCTCAGCAGGTCCGGTGCGAACGGGCGGCGCGGACCAAAGCGAGGAGACCGAAGCAGTTCTCATGCCATCTGAAGAACACTCGGAGGCGAGAAAGGACTCGGACTCGTCATGCTTTCAAGACTGAAAGGGCGGATTGACATGGATTGTTTTTTGCTGCAATTCTCCACAAGCATAGCCAGGTTAGGTGGATTGGACAGCCCACCCCACTCATTCTCGTGCTCACACCGTCGGACCTGGAAAAATCTCAGTCCAAGACGTCCATGAAAAGTTCCTTTCTTAGCAGCCCTAGCACTCTTGACCGCCGGAACGGTCCTCTGGTCCTCAAAAAAAGATCCCTCTATCCGGCCTCGGCCTCTTCAGCCATCTGGACACGCAGGAGGCCAGCTCCACATCCAAAAGCATGCACTCAATCTATGTAAAGAAGAAAGCTCAAGGTAGTCTAATGCAGCAGTTGTGCCCATCACATGTTTCTCATGACCACAGTCGATGACAACCTAGTGAGATTTCTTTTCGCAACCCTCAACCTTCTGCTGTGACTAAGAGGTATTTTGACATTGGTGTAGAGCCACCTCTCACATGACATGAGCTCCATGGCCTCTTGCCACTCCTTGACTCATCCATTTAAGAACTGCCAGCACACAAAGCTGAGAAACTGACCAAGCTGAGAAACTGGATCCTCCAAGTGAGCCACGTCGATCAAATAGTCTGACACACTTTCGTTGGGACACTCTACCCAGGGCTCCCGATGAAAACCTGCCAAATCCAAAAAGGTATCTGACTTGTCACGGACACCTGGTGCACACCTGGTGCAAACGAATGCAGCGACTCCGCACATCTTTTGAGAGGATTGGCGTGGAACGTTGGTGATCATTGACAAGAGAACGCAGCAGCGCAGCAGCGCAGCCCTTCAGCATGGGTCCAACTCAATGGCCCTCCGACTCCGCTGAAGGGGGGAATGTCTAATCTCGAAGAGTACCCTTAAATCGCAAGGCCCATGTCGAAACCACAGAGGGTGGGTGTTTTTCTCCTTCTTCACAGTCCAGTCCTACTCTTGAACATATGGGTCCAAACTTCAACCGACAAGGGAACAAGAGGGCGGGGCTATCTTCAGACCAACATGCTCGTCAGCTGAGTCCACTGCAACTGGGCTCGACTGGCCCGGCTTGAAACCACACGGTCACAGTATGGTGATCGGGTGGTCGCTGTTGTTTCAATCAGAAATTCTACAGTTTGATTAGTGGAGTTTGTCAAGGATTAGTGGAGTTTAGTTTGAACTCCTGGATTCAAGGAAACAAATTTGTGGAGTCTGCATCCTGTAGATTTGGAGACATGTTATGACATGTTCGTCCACCCATAAAAAACATCACTGACCGCATCACAGCCTGTCGGCTGCGCCGCCCATCCACTCAGAAGACGGCCTTCAAGACCTATTGATGGAAAGACACGGTGTTCTTTTCATTGCTGGATGAGGTGGGCGTGATCTCCAGCCCCTTCCAAAGCCATATCCAGCATCTCAAATCCTTGAACTCAGCATAACTGGCCCCTCCCGAAAACCTCTCAAACCCTCCAACGATGCAGGACGTCCGGTCACGTCCTTTCGCAGGGTCCGAGTCGGGGAGATCCGAGAGTCCGAACAAAAGAACAAGTACCAGGGCCCTGCATGGGGTGTCTAAGTATAGCTCCTTAGTAGGTGATTCGGGGTATCCATGAACCACCCCAAACAGGAAGCCCTGGTACACGTCCTCTAAGGAACACAAGGTCCTGCTTCTCTACCAAGGCTCAAGGCGTCGAAACCGCGAGTATACTGAATATACCGAGTGTGCTTCGGTTACTTGCTACACCCCGTCAGGACGTCGTCGGACATTGGCAGAACAACTAGGAGAAACCGAAACCCTTTCTGTCCCCTCGGCCGACCAAGTTCGAGTCATGCAGTGCTTCGCTTTCGTCGATTGAACCATCACCTTTGCCAGCTGTCCACCCAGGCAGCTGTCCAGCCGGACCAAGACGAGAGGTTTCCGCACGAGGGCGAAACCCCCAGGGCCCCAAAGACCCGGCCGCGCCGAAGACCGCACCGAAGAACCCGGTCGGCATCCTGTGGCGCCTCGTCCACCGCCTGGCGCCGCAGTTCCGGCACATCGTCGGGGCCTCGGTTGCGGCGCGGCACCGGTGGATGGGGAGCGCCACAGCGGTGAGGCGACCGGGCCCACCAGGAGGGCCGGAGCACCAGGACCTTTCCACTCGTGAACTCTTCAGGATTGGTCAGTGAGGATTGGTCAAGACGCATTGGCAGCTAGCCTGAAAAGAATTACAGTACTTCAAGAGTAGATGGCAATGAGAGAGGGGCTATAGATGGCGTTTTAGCCAAGTGGGTTCCAAATGTGCGCGGGTAAAAGTAGATGAAACCGGTGACTAAAAAGCCACCGCTCTCAGAGCCATCTACTAGACATTTTCCCGGTTCCCAAAAACAGCATTGAACATGTCTTTGTCGCACAAGGTATGAAACCTACATGTGTCAATGCCAAGCACCCTCAGAATAGTGTACAGTAAAACAATAGTCACAAACCCCTTTTTCCTTGACATGTGAATGTAATATGACTGCGGCAATCAAATGGAGCTTGAACATGTGGACTTGGCTGCACCTCAGGCAGGTGCCATCTACTTTTTCCTGTCTGACCCCCGAAAAAAAAGTGCAGCAGAACGAGGAAAAGTAGATGGCATCTCGACGTCGATTTTTGGACCACTCACCGCCATGTACTCTCAACCTAGAGTACAGTAGCTGAATGTACTGACGCACACGGTTTACGGGTTTCATTGCTCCAGGAGCAGGCTCTTCTTCCCCTTTCGCTGCCCCTTCCAAGGCACTCATCAAATGCCAGTCAGCAGCCGCCTGTCCCGCAGAGCCAAGTGGAACACAAAGGCATCATTATAGCTCTCTTGTGTGTTTGAGCTTTCGTAAGCCTCCTTTGACTCCTCACTTAACCCCGGCTTTTCCTTGAAAGGGCAACCTTTCACGGGCCTTCAGACTCAGCTGATGTGGGCTGTGTGGAACACAGACCATCGGAACTTCAAACAAACTGCTTGGTGGTGCCGGACTCCAGTTGTTCATCTACCTGGCTCTATGGTGACCCGCAGAACCCAAGCACTACCTGGCTCTATGTCTTTTTGAGAATGATAGAGGGGTCGATCTGGTACCGTATGCAAAACATCCATTGGTTGTTCACTTGGAGGTATCCCCTCAAGTGATATCAACCAACCATGGGCAAAAAGCCCATCGATGAGCACAAGCGTTGTGCCGCGCCTTCAAAGCCATGACCGCATCATCCGTTCGCAGTCTTCGCGACACCGCGGCCTGTGACTTGGGGCCTGAAGCGCGTTGGGCGGGTGGGCAGTGGCGGAGAGAACTCTTTTCAGCTGGGATGCTTGATCAAAATCGGCGCAGTGGGATTTCCTGGCGTGTCCGGCCTCCAATTGAGCTAGTTGCTTGCTTTTCTAGGCTGTTTGGTTGGCTGACTTGAGGAGGGAGAGAGAGAGAGAGAAAAAAAAAAAAAGAAAGAAAGAAAGAAAGAGAGAGAGAGAGAGACCTCACAGGATCTCCAAATAAGACATAAGGAGCACGTACAGAAAATGGATGGTCACAGCCGTGAGATTTTGGAAGGAAAAGAAGCAACAGCAAGTGTTCATCGACGCAAAATAATATGTTTGCTGCTTAGGATGGATGGAGGGCCCAGGCGAACAAGTTCTGTCTCTCTACCGATCTGAGTTTCAGCATCAGCTTCTTTGCTTCCAAACAGCTCCCTACGTTCTCTCAAGAAAGCCATCTTTCCCGATTTTGCTAGCATGGGAACGCATGGGAACACATGAGATGATGTTCCTATACGATCCATGTCGAGCCGCCCACCGCCCGAGCCCGCACCGAGCCCCCAAGCCATGCTGCTGCAGGACTGCCCGGCACGTCGCCGCATCCCCTGACTTTTGACCCGAGGAAAGAGTACGACACGTATTGTAATATATACCAGGACCCCCTTGGGGTGGTTAATACATACCCCTTAACCTCTAAGGAGCTATAATTGGACACCCTTAGGGGGCCCTGGTATAAATATAAAAGCTATATAATATTATGTGTTGTTGTTGTATATGTCCAAGTTGTGTTAAGTTAATTATTGGTGTTTTCTGATTTTCTTCTGTTGGCCATTCTACTACCAAGGACAAAGGTCTTCGAAGGGAAAAACCAGGCTCTTTCGTTTGGGTTCGCAGTTTCCTTTGGGTTTGCTTCGGTTCCCTGGTCCCGGGGCTGGGTTGCACAAACACACCAGTCGCACGACGGTCGTGGGGCCCAGCGTCCCAGAGGAAAACGCATCACTCGTGACACATCCCCTACCACGACTCGCTGACACATCAAAGCCATGAAGGCTTTGATGCAGTTTTTTCGTGGAGAATCAAACCAGCCCCACAAAGACATCCACGGGGAAAGTCACACACAGATTGAACCTGACGTAAATCCACTAATCAAGTGAAGTGCCGATTATGTTAATTAATGTAGACTCTTGATTGATAACCCCCCCCGTGAAGAGGATGTCCAATTCAGTTGGGAGTTGGAGAGTCTACATTACATTATTGTTATTTGATGTTGGGGTCCTTAGCAGTATACCCATGTAGCCCACATGGTACCCAGGATTAATTTTCTAAGGACCCAAGCATGTTACTCGACTCCCAAAGCTTGTAACCATCCCTCCAAACCCTCCACGCGGCCATACGTGGCCCGCGTTGCGCGGTGGAATACGCCTGCCACTGCTGCTTGCACAAGGGCCTGGCCCCGTTGAAGAATTGGAAAAGGTCTGGACAGCCCGGTCTGTAGGGATGGGCCGAACATGGGACCGAAAACCGATGGCATCATGGCCATCCCAGCATCGGTTGGGTGTTAAGCCCAAGTGTAGGCTGCTTGGATTCTTCCTCCTTTCCGGCTCTGACCCATCCCTGCACAAACCCCTTTAGAAGCCAGACTGGTGCAAGGTCACACCTTTCTGCACCCAATGCACCCCCCTCCAACCAGCCCTGGACAGCCATCTTCCAAGCCCTACAACCCTACAAAAGCCCCCATCGTTCCCCTCTCACGGAAATGGACATGCCAACCCGGAACAAACACCACCAAACACCAAACACCAGGCACCAATAAATGAACAAACACCCAAACACCCAAACACCCACACCACCCACGCTGCCCCGCACACCCAGGAGATCGCCTCTCGAATCACTCCCCGAGCAAAGGCGCCACGCGCCTCGTACAGTCATAGCGGGCACCGTCGTTTTTTTCTAAGGAATGTGTTTTCACAAGCTGATAAACAAATGACATGAGCCTTTCGTTTG